CTTCCACCCTGCGGGGTCGTCTCAGTGAAAGTGTTTTTCACATTGGTGATGTCATCAGGAAGTTTTAGGAGGCAGGCAGGAGAACTGTGAATGCTCTATGCTGTGTGCATGTCAGCTTACAACAATCTAGAGAAAACAGCCTATTGTCTAATAAAGTGCATAGTGAAACAGAACATAATGGAAACTAATGCTTACTAATTTGGAACGGTTGTTTTGGAACACAGCGAAACATACCACAAGTAAAACAGCGAGGAAATGGATCCAAATTGTTCCAAAAACATCTTTGTGTTCTCCTGTATATGATTTGCCTGACTGTGTCTTGGCTTTTTGAATCTGCATTTGCCTGTTTCACATCTCCTGAAGGCCAGCAAACCTTTTGAAAGCCCTCCTCTGTCTCCATTCCTCCAGGAGTTTTTGAGGAAGTTTGTTCAGAATGACAGTGTGCAAACGCACGTCACAGACACACCCCAACAGTGTGAGTAACAAGACTGACCCAGGTCAGTTAGATTGACTTCCTTTGGAGCTTACTGTAAGTCCTTTGGAAATATGCCCTTTCTGTGTGAATATCCTCACCTTTCCACTGGCTGTCTGATCATGAATTCATTAATGTGGTGCATTCTGTCCTCTGTTTGATATGACAATCACTCTTAGCTGGAATGACAACAGGAAACGGCACAGACATTTTCACATGGTTCCCAAATTCGATGCAAACCTCTGAAGTGCATTTTGCAACACTAACAACTAGCAACCTTTTCATTCCAGCAGGTACACAAAATGCAGACATGTTTGCTCTATTTTTGCTATTGGTTTTATTAAAACCACTGGGACAGTCTGGGAAATTAACACCACAGGAAAAGTTTATCCTTTTTGCATTCACCATGCAGTCTGCAGGCTGAAGGAGCAAACAGCGTCCACTTTTACTATTTCTCTCTCTCTCTATCTGAAAAAACGCACACAACACTGAAGAAATGGAAACACAAATGTGTTACCCTGTTAAGGTCATGCTTTTTTACACCTGATGTCATGGTGTGAAAACAACTTCATAAATGCAGACCAAAGTTTTTTAAGATGAAATATTTAGTCTGATCTTCTGCCACACCATCTCCAGGGTGTGTAAGTGTCGTGTTGGACTCAACATATAATTCAGTCGATAAATCAACGCACTCATAAAGTCAAACCCTTGCTGTCCACCTGTTTGGTGGCATGCTCCACCCAATTTGGTTTCCACGGTGACTGTATTATAGCACCGTGTTGTGGAATCTGGGGAAGTGCTTCGTCAGAAAGTTTGTCTCCTCACAGGCCGGCTGCTCCTTGCGACCTCCAGCATTTGTCGTAAGCAGACCGGCAGATCATCTTCACATCCTGTGCTGAAAATTCTGACTGATTCACGGTTTGATGACGAGGATCAGTGAGATTGCTGACAACCTCAAATTAGGTTGCTCAACCGTTCGCTGGCCGTTTGGAGTCCCAACTTCTGCACGTTGTAGACCTTTAAATGTGCCCTGCATTCTACTGGTCATATTAAAATGGAGATTGGAGGCAAACAGCAGGAAAACAGCCATAAATGGGTGTGAGACACAGTCAGTCATGATCCTATTCCATCTCACCCTATACCTCTCATCAACCAGCCACCTACCTCTCTTCTAAAGCTTCTCAACTGTATTTCTTTCCACCTCTATATCAATTCACACCTCCCCCCACCCCAATTATTTCATCCAGCTGTGGCCATCTGGCTCCCACTCTCCAGACTGCCTGTCCACAGTTTGGTGAAGCCGGCGTGGAGAACCACACATTCAAAACAAGCACTCCCAAGGCTCTACAGATGTTGAAGCTTGGCACACATTACAAAAGCTTTTTTTAGATTTAGAAATCCTATAAGACTCCACAGCACTGTTACCAAAACTTTATAATTGTGCATTGTCTGACAATTATAGGAATGCAATGCTAAATCAGCATTTTAATTTGTGAATTTTAGAGGTGTATTTCGTTACATCTTGACGGAGCCAGGCTATCTGTTTCCTGTTTTCAATTCTCATGCAAAACTAAGCTAAACAGCTGCTGGTGCGAGCTTCATATTTAATGTCCAGACATGAGAAGTTAAGCAATTGTTTTCATCCAACTCTTGGCAAGATATCAAATGCGTTTTAAAATGACACATGCTTTATTACCATTAATGCATACTGTTGTCCGCCCCCCCCCCACCACCACATTATTACTGTACAGCAGACTAATCAATATTCTGAAACAGTTTGTTTATGTAATCTAGGATTTTATTTTTGTTGAAGATACAATATTGTTTCTTAGTAATGCATTCATTTAATGCAACTTTGACAGCAATATATACAGATGTTGTGTTGATTGCAATTGATTTCTATTGCTGTTTGAAATAAATTAAAAATGACGACTAACTTATATAGGAAACCCAAACCTAAAATATTGCATGATGGTTTAGAACACGCTTCCCGGTTCCAGATGATCAGATCAGATCAGGTTTTCATGCTGCTAAACTCCCAAAAGCAAATCACTCACACGTAGGGTCAACAAAAAATCACTTTGAAAGATTGGTGTTATGTATGGAAGAGGGGGACAGATAGAGAAGAAGAGGTAAATCACTCTGATATAAACCAGGCAGCTTTCCAGAAACTTGGACAGAGACAGCTCATAAATCTTAAAGTGAGCCCAAACAGCCCAGGAAATTAAGTCATACGCAAAATACCCCATTCTAGCAAGAAAAGAACTCAATGTCTCCTTTGTCCACAAATATTTATACGTTCTTTTACACCATGGTCCTCCCTGATATTGCATGAGGGAACAATTCAGGGAAGATGTGTTGTGATAAACTTTAAAAGTAAGATTCTGCAGCTTTAAACTGTCCTGTGTTTTGATCCTCTGCAGTTTGGGGCTGTTTCACAACTGGAAAGTATGCGTTGGTTTTTTCCACATGGGAGAAATTGGTGACTCAGTTTTGCTTTTAAAACAAGTACAGTTATTTTGCTGTTTTCTTCCTCTGTTTCCCCAAAACCATCTGTTTTTTCATTCAGCTCTCACTTACGATACACAATGACAGGAATAATTTGCTTCACAGTCTCACACACAGTAGCTGCCCGCCGAAGAACCATGAGTAACTTTAGTGGAACCAGCGGCTCCACCACAGTAACATGACAGAGGCAACATGCTGTGGTCCGGATTATTATTTCCCCCCTTAAGTGCATTTTTTATGAAAACATGTTGTGTCCTTGCAGGATAATTAACTGCACACAAATTAACCCACACATTGGTGGGTAAACAACAACAACTAAACATGTGATGTCATATTTAAATCACATATCTTTATTTTCCATAAAACCCCAAGGTTTCCACACAATACAATATGTTTAGTTATAGGTAAAAGTGTGTAACATTTGGATTTATCCATACAAACAGTAAATATAACATCTTAAAGGAGAATGTTTCACAAACTTTAAGTTTTTAATACAATTGTGATGCACATTTACCCTCAATTACCTTGTATTTAATGTACTTTTGTTTTGGACATTGCACAGATTCTCACTGTGCAAATAGTTAGCTATAGCTATTTTCATCTGTAGTCCCTGCACAGGAAACAGAGAAAGACTTACCCTAAGGTTACTGACCCTAACCCCTGTAAACAAAATGAACAGTATACAAAAACAAATACAAGACAGTAGGCTTCATATCAACTTTAAAACAACAGCAGCAACCACATAACATTGTAATCGGCACATTCAAAAAACATTAAAGCATCAACAGGATCAACAACCAAAAGATTTCACAACATAAAGACAAATCAAATGTTTGAGTTAATGCGTGATAGTGATCAGTCTTCAAATGCATGACGTCATTTAAGCAGAGATTTTGTCTGTTTTTTCTTTTATCTTGTCGAAGTTCAGAGATTACTTTTAACTTTGGTGAGGCCTTCGCTGCACAACACCTCATCCTGCTGGGAGCCAGTCAGGAGTTTCTTTCAGAGTGCACATAGCTGTTATTATAAATGATTCACAATGAAACTGACATTTAGTGTTAGAATGTTGAACACAAGGCAGTCTGAGTATGATTTAAGAAAAAGCATGTATAGATGACATGCGTGTGTTTGATTATGCAGTGGAAGGTGAATAGGATTGAAGTAAAACTTTCTGAGGTGTTCAGTAATACTGATTACAGTAGAACATCATCTTAAAAGCAGGTAACTGTAGACATTAAAGGTCAATGTAGTGGTATCCTAAACTGTTTCAAGTGATTTAAATATGCAAAATGGTGATTTTGCAACATTGCCAGAAACCTTAAGTTGAACTCAGACATGATGCAGAAAGTTTCAAAGAGTGCCGGAGTCTGCTGCTCAGGGGCGTTAAGCCACCATGGACTCCCAAACGATTTGAACAGAAAATAATCTTATAGATATACTGCCTGATGTGGTTATAGTTCCCTATGCACACTTCCAAACCCAAGAGCTGGGCGGCCCTTTTGGAATTTCTGGGGTTTTAAATCAGAGCACTAACCCAAATATTTGGGATTATGATACATTTGATCTTTACCATGTTTGGGAAATTGGGAGTGCTTAACCAATCTTATCAGTATATCTTTACCCTTTGTGTTGGCATATTGATAGCAATGTTTCATAGAATTGTAATAGTCATAAAGTGCACTTAATTGGATAAAACCTTTGCCCATGATTTAAAAGTAAAGCGTCATAGACCCTAAAAAATAGTTGGCTCTGATAGCATCACTATTTCTTAGATTAATAATGGGTTTTATATTTCATGTTTTATGTCTCCTCTGCTGACAAGACATTTTTAAAAGACATTTTAATTTAAAATGCTTATTCATCTTTATACCCTAATGTTATTTTCGTCTTGTGGTCTTTTGTCTTGAGGGTCAGTATTGCTCACACTCGGGCGGGTCGTCTTGAGCTCCGGTTAAAGCCCTCCCCTCTTGCAGGCTGCAGCGGTGTGCTCGGGTATAAAAGCAGCGCGCTCCCTCTGCTCGGCCTGGTGCACCAGCTGTGAGGAGGCAGCTAGGAGCAGAGAGTAAAACAAATCAGACCCTTCCAAGCTAAACTTTAGTTCTGCACGCGCTTCTTTTGCAAAACTTGCTTCGTTAACTTGCTTCGTTTTTTTTCTTCTTAACCTTGAAGTTCTTACTTTTCTACAAAATGACCGGTGGCCCGCTGACAGGGTTGCTGGTTGCGCTGTGCGTCAGCAGCGCAGTCCACGGATTGCCAAAAAAGAGCAAAAGACAATCCGGCCAATATCAGGTGTATCCAGAGTTCCGGGAAGCAGCCGCCGTTACTACAGGTTGGTACAAGGATTTCCATCAAAAATATCAAACATTTTTTAGTTTAATATCCTGAATGTAAAAAAAAAAAAATGTTTCTTTCACTTTTGTCATTCTTTGTGATTTAATTGATCCAATTTAATGTTGGCTGCTTTTTTGTTTACGATTAGCCATCATGCACATATTTAATGGAAGGTTTAGGGTTTTGAATGCTTAATAATCTTTGTCATAATCCATGTATTTGATTTTCTAGTCGGCTGTGAGGAGAATGGTCGCTCATACAGACTGAACGAGCAGTGGGACAAACCCTACCTCGGCAGTACCCTGGTGTGCACCTGCAATGGAGCAGCAGGCATCAAGTGTAAATCTAAACCTGCAGGTCAGTGAGAAACCGACCCATACAGAAATGTCTTAACACTTCCACATCTGGAAAAAGATTTACAAGAGTTATTGGCTCCTTGCCACTTGTTTCAGAATGTTGTGTCAATGTCAACACCATGACTAAAACACCAGAACTAAAAAACACTTGGGAGCACTCAGCGCTATCAACACACTCTTAACATTATTCCTCTGTTGTTCTCTCAGTGGAGGAGTCCTGTTATGATAAGTACAATGACCAGTCTTACCGGGTGGGTGAAACCTACGAGAGGTCAAAGGATGCGATGATATGGGACTGTACCTGTATCGGTTCTGGACGTGGAAAGATCAGCTGTACCATTGCAAGTGAGTAACCAGAATAATGAAATACCTGTACTTCAAAAAACAATTGTAAAATATTGTCCTAAATCAATTAAATATTGTAATTCAAATCAATTTAAGCGTGTTGTATTTCATTCAAATTAAAAGCTTTTTAGATTAATCAAGATATTTTCTTGACAAAACAAGAGGTAGGTATTTCCTGCTCCTTACATGTATTAGAAAGAAAAAATGACATCATGATTTTTTAATTAAATGTTTTAAGCAAATTGTATTAATGACTGCATATCAAATTTGAATGATGGATATGTGTCATACTGAAAGGCCAACACTCTAGAATCCATCCAAAAATCTCTCAAAGCCCACTTATTCACTCTAGCTTTCAAACTCTGATCAATACCCCCCTCACACTATACTCGCACTTGGATTAGGACTACTGTTTTTATTTGGTTCTGTTTCTGATTGTATGTAAAGTGTCTTTGAGCATTAGGAAAGGCGCTATATTCAAATCCAATGTATTATTATAGTGCAATCATTTCAAAGAAATGCAGCTAAGTATTTTTTTTTTCTCCACAGATCGATGCCATGAAGGTGGGAGCTCTTATAAAATCGGGGACACTTGGAAGAGGCCTCACGAGACGGCTGACCACATGCTGGAGTGTGTGTGTCTTGGAAACGGAAAAGGAGAGTGGACCTGCAAACCTGTGGGTGAGTACTTTGACCTGATTCATTTAAACGTGTGGGGTGACCAGGACGTGAACACCAAAAAAGAATTCTGAAATACAGATAACCCTAACACTAACATGCAAGCTTTTATATGCAGCTGCCATCACACAATCACACAAACTTACTGACAGGGTCATTTCTCAGAAGCATGACTGAGTTTGATAGTATTGTCAATATTTGAAAACAGTCAAGGCAAACAAGGTGAGCAAGAGAGCATGCCCCTCCTCTTTTGCCCATCTTACACCACAGCTATTGATTTTCACTTGGTTTGTTTTTCCCATGTGGTTTAGCAGCTGTGATTTCAAGTGATTTCTTACTGTGTCTTGTAAACTACTGCAGATGCAATACATATTCTGTTTTTTGTGCAGCCGAGCGCTGCTACGACAACAACGTGGCATTATCATACGTCGTGGGGGAGACCTGGGAGAAGCCGTACCAAGGCTGGATGATGCTCGACTGCGCCTGTCTAGGAGAGGGAAATGGACGCATCACATGCACCTCAAGGAGTAAGAAGAGTGTAGACACACACATGGACACACTTTTAAATTCTTCAGTATTGGCTGTTGACCATTGTTGTCCTCCCACCAGACCGTTGCAACGACCAGGAAACCAAGACGTCCTACCGTATCGGAGACTCATGGAAAAAAGCGGACGCAAGTGGACACACCCTGCAGTGTCAGTGCTTAGGAAATGGTCGCGGAGAGTGGAAGTGTGAGAGACACAACGCAGTCCGAAGTGAGACTCAAAAACTCTTTGCTCAAGGTTACATTTGCTAAAAGTTTTAAAAAACTTTTCTGTGATCTTTTCTGACATTCATCCTTCTTTCATTCTGTTTGGTGGCATACAGCCTCAGCTGCTGTCGTGTTGACCCCCGACCATTCGTTGACTCTGCAGCAGCCTGAGCCCCCCATTGAGGGGACGTGCCGCACCGACTCAGGAGCCGCCTACTTCGATGGACAGCGCTGGTTCAGAAGCCAGGGCAACACGCAGATGCTCTGCACCTGTCTGGGCAATGGAGTGAGCTGCCAGGAGTGGGGTGAGTGAAAGCAGGGGTCTCTGTGAAGAAAGAATAATAATGATAAAAAATGTGGGATCCTTTATGTTTCTTGTTGGGTTTCTTTGACATTAAATGCCTTTTAGAGCGCCAGATTCAAGTCACAACACCCACCATAATCACCATTATTAGATGCATATGGTTTGTCTCCGCTGTAATTGCCTCATTCTTGACTTTCTTGACTCTGTGCAGAGTCCAGGAAGCAGGAATACGGTGGGAACTCTGACGGCCAGCCATGTGTGTTCCCGTTTGTGTTCATGGGAAGGACCTTCTATTCCTGCACCTCAGACGGACGCACGGATGGACAGCTCTGGTGCTCGACAACCTCAGACTATGAGAAAGACCAGCAGTACTCTTTCTGTACTGAGAAGAATGGTGAGAATTAGGAACAGGGATTTCAACCTGGGCTTGACCATTGTTTTGGTTTTGTAGATATACTGGGCTGACGTTGACCTTTTATAAATACAGCCATTGCCTGTCAAAATCATATTTAATATTCCCTCTCAATATCTTGCCTTGAAAAAGTCTGTAGAAACTGCCATAGAATTGTATTTATCATCAATCAAAATATGTTTTTGTTCATTTCTGTTTGAACATAAATTCCTTTTACACTTGATGTTCCCACTTAGGAATTCGTGAATATTTATACATTTTGCTATAACAACAACAACATCATATTGCAAGAATTGACAAATCTATCACAGTCCCCAAAATATAAAGAAGACATAACATGGCATTATGGATATATTATAAGGTGAGATCTCCCTGTCTCTATTCCAGCCGTTGTGGGAACCCGAGGTGGAAACTCCCATGGTGCCTTGTGCCACTTCCCCTTCCTCTATAGCGGCCGCAACTACACCGACTGCACCTCTGACGGGCGACGTGATAGCATGAGGTGGTGTGGCACCACCCACGACTACGACACAGAGCAGCGCTTTGGATTCTGCCCCATGGCCGGTGAGTGTGTGTATTTTTAGAGACAGTATCAGAACAATAGCTTTGAAATGTCTCCAGTTTACCTTCCCAACATAAAAGGAAAATAAAAGGTGTTTAGGAATAGTTTTAGGAAATACACTTATTCACTTTCTTTCCGAGAATTATTGATACCTCCTTAAATATATGTAGGTAAATATGGACCTATACAGCCAGTACATGACAACACTGAAAACAGGGGGAAACGGCTAGCTTAGCTCTGTTTAAAGGCCCTGTATAACAAAAAAGTGAAAGATACAATTTGTATAAATGCTAACATGCTATGGAGATATTTCCTTTGTAGGAAGAGTAATTACTTTTGACTTATTACATAAAGAGGGCTGATACTGGCCTAACTGAACCAAAAGTAATTACTCCCCCCCACGGTACCGTTTCTTTTTTATTCATTCTTATTTCCTGTCTTTCTTTGTGTAGCCCATGAGGAATTATGTACCACCAACGATGGAGCCATGCACCGTGTAGGCGACAAGTGGGACAAACGCCATGATGTCATGGGTCACATGATGGAGTGCACATGCGTGGGCAATGGCCGCGGGGAGTGGAGCTGTGTCGCTCACTCACAGCTGAGAGGTCAGAGAGCTAACTCCCATTTGGACTTGAAACAAAACTGTTGTCCTAAAGCTTAAGTTTAAAGTTGGTTTTCCTCCTTTATCTACGTATCCAGATCAGTGTATTGTTGATGGCCTGAACTATGATATAAACCAGGATTTCTCCAAGCGCCACGACGAGGGCTACATGATGAACTGCACCTGCTATGGACAGGGACGTGGTCGCTGGAAGTGTGATGCTCTCGGTGCGTTTATGTCTCAATAGCTCGGCTGATGATGATTTACTTTTATAGGAAAACGACCACCCAATCCTACTTTGTCTCATCCTATCTCTGCTGTCTTCCTCTGTTTTTAACTAATAGATCAGTGCCAGGAGCCACAAACCAGGACCTTTCACCAGATCGGAGACACATGGGAGAAATCCATCCATGGCATCAACTACCGCTGTTATTGCTATGGCAACGGGGTTGGAGAGTTGAGATGTGAACCCCAGCAGACAAGGCAAGGTAAGAAAACAAATCCTCCGTGCACCATCGCTTTAAAGTCGCTTTCCACTTCAACTGATCTGTTTCTGCAGAGTCCACATGGTTGGAATATGCTGGTTCAAGTTTTTATATATATCCCAGAACAACAAACATGATGGAAAAATCGCTAGAAGATTTTAACCAGTGCCCTTTTGATGGATCTTGTATACTTAAGACATGATACACATATATACATATCAAGAGTTTTAATGGCTTTCACTTAAATATCTCTGATGTCCATTATGGATTTACTATCATAAGTCCACTTAAAGATCATAGGAAAAAGGAACGGCAATCAGATTGCAACTTCAGCTCCATTTTAAATTCTATATTTTTGGACGATCCATTTGTTATAGTTGTGATAACCCTGGTCTTAATTATGGGGTGAGCGACCTAAATACTAAACCCCTGGCATCTACCAGATAACATGTATTATTAAATTGGATTATTTATTCAAATAATTTTTCTCTTATCTAATTTGGAAGTATTATTGACTTTAAAAGTGAATTAATTAGCCTCTCAGTTCTTTCCAGCAGATGGTCAGACATCTTTTTGATCTTTATTGGTGTTATCTCTACTTATTCAACCCTCCTACGTTGCCCTCATAAAGTTCAGGTTTGTGGAGAGAAGCGGGGGTTTGGTGTTTTTTCTCTACTTTGAAGTTACCAAATGGAAAAGTGCTTGCAAATCAAATCACCCCCGTCTCTCCCTTTTAATCTTTGTAGTAGGAGAAGTTTTCCTCCCCCGCCTGGTGTTTTTCTGCTGACCTGCTGAGGAGAAAGCGATGCTGGGCTGGGGAAGGGGGGGGGGTTAAACAAATACTGCCTCCAATATCTCCCTATAAAGTTGCTTAATGTGGTACTTTGTACTGAAGCACATTGTGTATCCTGAAACAAGCATTGACCTCAAAACCCTGCAGTTGCGACATTTATCTCACCATGATCAAAGCTGTGTGCTTCAGATAGTGAAGCTTTATGTTAGCTAGGTAAACTGTGATGAATATAGTGACCCAGTGTTAGGTGGGACTGTAAGTTCAGTGGGTTTTTGAGCAGGTTTAGCAGTGTCTGGTGGTTTGGTTCTGTCTCAAAACGATGAATCCATATGAAAGAGTCTCACCAAAGAGTAGCCAACTTTCACCCCCACTCGCTAAAGGTCACACTGTTACATTGTGTGTGAGTTCTTTTTTCTCTTTGCTAATAGCAGCTTTGTTCTCGGTCTCTCCAACTCTCTCCTGATGTCTTCCCCTGAATATTCTCCTACTAATGCTGCTCTAACTCCTCAGATGGCCACAGACCTGTGCAGGTGATCATCACAGAGGCAGGAAAACAGCCAGACTCCCATCCCATTCAGTGGAACGCACCTTCATCTGTGCAAATTACCAAGTACATCCTCAAATGGAGAATTGTGAGTCCCCCTTTTTATATATTGACTTAGTAAAATAAAGTATGTTTTTTTTTTTAATGAATGGGTTGTTATAAATATTCAGACAGGTAGTATTAGTAAAGGTGAGCAAACAGTCAATTGCTTTTGGTAATGTTGACTAAACTTTTGAACATGAACAGACTATGAGATTAGAGGTTACATTAACTCCCCTTTACAGTCTGCATGCACCAACACACAGACTCCAAGGAAAACATCTCCCTTCCTGGGATTTTGTTTTCTTACACATTTTTTCTCTCTTTGAAGACCTCGAAAACTAACAAGCTGGCTGAAATGTTTATGAAGCTTACATTTAATTCAAACTGATTTCCTCTGAAGGGGGTTGTGTATTTTAGAAATAAATGTTACTTAACGCCCTCGTCTGGCTCTCCCGCTGAGAAAGCTTTCCGACAGAGCGCAAAGCCAGTCTAAATACCGCTAAAGCAGGAAATGGCAGTAAACGAGTCCGAGCCAGAGTCCAGTCCAAAATATACAGACTACCATATAAAGTCCTAATTTTAAGACTTATTCCAGTCAATTCTCTGCACATAATGCTTTCTATTCAGCTTTATCATATCTGTGCTTTCATTTTAACGATTTACACATGCCTAAAGTCTAAACATTGAAATAACCAGTTGTGAAAATATCTCACTACAGGCTACATCTAGTAGCTGTTTTTGCATAGCATATTTCATGTCAGGCCAATTGATGCTTCAAGTAAATGAAAACCTGACCTTCATCACCTTTTATTTTTGTACCTCTTGTGGTAGAAACAAACCAATTCACCCTGGAAAGAGGTCAACGTCCCCGGCCACCTTCAATCGTACACCATCAGCGGGCTGCGTCCAGGCATCACTTACGAGGGTCAGCTGATCAGCATCCTGCGCTACGGAAGCCGCGAGGTCACGCGCTTTGATTTCACCACCACCCACGGTTCCTGTGAGTAGACTCAAGCAGTTAGTGACCTCTCAAGGACACAGATCTAAATACATTTTCACAGGAACATTATATCCCTTTTTCTCTCAAGTGGAAACATCGGAGGGAGAGACGACCGCACCTCCTGCAGTGGTGGACACTTCTGAGTCCGTGACAGAAATCACCTCCAACAGCTTCGTTGTGTCCTGGACATCAGCGTCTGCCACCATCTCTGGCTTCCGGGTGGAGTACGAGCTCAGTGAGGATGGGGCCAAGCCCAAAGTCCTTGGTGAGATAATTTGAGCATCACTGAAACCTTCATTATGTCTCATGCAAATGATGAATGGATTGATTCATTGGCATGTTCTTCAGTTGAGGTTCTTATATATCTATGGAAACCCTCTTTCAGATTAATTTTGTATCACTGATTCGTATAATAACTAACTTTGTATTGGTGTCTCCAGATGTTCCTCGCACGACCTCCTCTCTCACCATTGGTGACCTCCTGCCAGGACGCAGATACAACGTCAACGTCTACGAGCTCCCGAATCAGGGACAGCCAAACCTTATCCTGACGACCTCCCAGACTACAGGTGGGAGAATCCCTCTCCTTCTATTTGTCATGAAAACAAATGTCAGGACTATCCCAATTTTGGAAATTTTCAAACATGGTGCAAAGCGACCAATTTTCATCTTCTTTCCCTTCTGTAGCTCCTGACTCCCCAGCTCAGCATGTGGTCGATGAGGTGAGAGAGTCCTCCATCCGAATCAGCTGGACGAGGCCTCAGGCTCCTATCACCGGTAAAGAGCATGTCTCTGTTTGTCTGTTTACAAGTGATTCAAATTCGTCGTTTTTGATGTAGAGATCCATTTTATTGTCTCTGTGCCTGCCAGGTTACCGTGTGGTGTACACTCCATCTCTGGAAGGCAGCAGCACTGAGCTGAATTTACCCGACTCCGAGACCTCCGTGACCCTGGCTGACCTTCTCCCCGGTCACCTCTACAACATCAGCATCTACGCCGTGGAGGAGGACCAGGAGAGTGAGCCTGTTTTCGTACAGGTCAACACCGCTGGATCCCCTCTCCCAGGTGCACATTTTTAAATAGACATATATCTTTCAGTTGATAAAAAAAATTATATTCATAAAAATGCCTCATAACTTAAGCCAATGGAAAGATGTTTTCCTATTAAAACATTCACAGTACGTTTGTATGTTATTTAAAATCTCAGTTATTCTTTTCTTATTTAACGTTATCTTCTGGCCGTCATATGGCAGATTAGGACTACACACAGAGCTAAAGATTCCTTATAGGGCCGGAGAGCTTAAGGCAGCGCTCTCCACTGTTTTGGAAATACTAAGCTTGACTAAACATTGCTATGTCAAACTATGCTTTATTGCTTCAGCATAGTAATATCTTCTTATCCTTATCACAGTCTGTTATGACTTTTTTATTTTACCCTGTCGTGGCCCCTGAATGACCTTTCATTAGTTCACGGTGGGCTCAGAAACAGGCACATGAAAAACAAACATGCATGTGCAGCTGACACAGAGACACACACACACTTTCTAAATCCTCAGTTTATCTGAAATATATACATTCATCTTTTAGATATTTTTACTGTACTTTATTTTTCCCATACAGTACATATAAAGCTTAAGGTGATTGCGTTGAGGCGTTCTCCTAACACAATGAGTACAACATGATTAAAACATTGCTACATCAATAGTGATGAATAACTCCAAAGGATACTTTAATAAAGATTCTGATTTTACCTTTTTGTCTATCAATCTACCTCTTCCTCTCACAGAGGAGGTCCCGGCTCCCACAGACCTGACGTTCTACGAGGTTTCAGACATGAAGATCAGCATCACCTGGACCGGTCCACCCAGCGAGGTGACCGGTTACAGGGTCCACTTCACCCCCGTTGCTCCCGATGGCTCTGAGACGAGGGTCCTGCAGTTGCCTCCTTCACCCAACGCATATGCCGATATAACCCATCTCCAGCCAGGAACAGTGTACCGCTTCTACATCTACGCCATGAATGGTGGATCGGAGAGCCAGCCTCTTGTGGCAGAAAAGTCTACCAGTAAGTATTGTCATGGACAAAGGAGCTTGAGTTAGACGCAGAGGGATTACAATAAAAGATGAGACTTTCTTTCATACACATGTTTTTTTTTCTTTCTCCCCTCTCAAGAACCTGATTCGCCCACCGATGTGCGTTTTACTGACATCAGGCCCGATAGTGCCGTGGCCATCTGGGGGGCTCCCCGTGCCATCGTCAGTGGTTACCGCCTCTACCTGAGCATTGAAGGATCCAGCCCCATAGAGAAGAGGATCCCTGGCAGGGTCACCCAGTTCCCTTTGAAGAACTTACGCCCAGAAACCCAGTACACTGCCACCCTGCACTCTGAGCTGGACAATGACCTCAGCGAGGGCGTCACTACTTTTTTTACCACCGGTCAGTATGAAAACAATCAATACATCTGCAAATACATTTTTGCAATGAAATTAATTGTATTTCTGTCTTTTTCCTCCCAGCTCCCCAGATGGGAAATAACCCTGCTTTCAGCACTGAGGTCACTGATACCTCTATCATCGTGACCTGGATACCTGTCCGCAGGTTTAGCTACAAGGTAGAATCCTTTTTTATCATGTCCAAAAAACTTACTTCATCATTACACTTAGAGATAACCTGGTCATAATCAGACTTAATGTGTATGAAGTGAAAGGGGACACTAGAGTGACATGAGTTTTGTCAGTATTTTGTTTGCAGCTGGTCATACTTCTCCTAGAGGGCCAAACATTAACACTCAAAATGAAGATTTAGTGTCTTTTGCAGTGGTATATTTACTGGGTTTGCCTTTGCCTCCTTCTCCCCAGCTGTCTGTGCTCCCCAGTGTGGAAGGCGAGTCTCCCAGAGAAGAGACCTCTGAAACTGGAAGTGTTTATATTCCCGGGCTGATCCCTGGAAATCAGTACATCTACAGCGTTCAGCCCATCTTCAACGGACGCAACCGTGGAAAACCTATTACCCGCACCGTTGTGACTTGTGAGTACCCAATTCCGAGAATTTGCAAATGTGCTTTAGTTGTAATATTGCACATGTATGCCTCTCCATGTGAATTAATTCCCACACAATGCACAGTGCAATGATTCCTCCCACCAGAGTCTAGTTCTAGTTCTAGTTTATGAGTTTGGCCATGATATGTGAATTTGTTTCGAACTCATGCACATTTTGGTTACTGGCCACTGGCATTGCCACATCCCCTTTTGGCATGAACTCAGATCATCACAAACATACACAATTTCAGCCTCCTAGGGCAAAAACCTTGGCCAAAGAGTGGAGAATGTTCTGTCGACCGACACGAAGAAGTTACTGCTGCAATGAAACAGGTTTCACATACTTGTGTCATAATCTTCTATCCTTTGCTTGCAGCCCTGTCTTCCCCCACTGAACTCAGAGTACAGTCCAACTCAATCACAGGAGATCTCATCGTCTACTGGGTAGCTTCCAAAACCCCAGGTAAATATTGACTGTGCTCCCTATGCACTGCCAGCACATTGAATATTGCCAAGTCTAGACCCTGGCCTTTGGATGGTATTTCTTTCCACGAGGACAAATGATTCTTCCCAGTATTCCCTTTGGGATAATACATTTCAGGAACATCTTGAAGTAATGTTTACCTATCCATTTTTTCAGGCATCACAGGATACAGAGTGACGAGCACACCTACCGACGGCCAGCGAGGAAACACCCTGGAAGAGTTACTCCGAGCTGATCAAACCTCATTTATGCTGGAGAGTCTGAATCCGGGTACTGAGTACAACATCAGTGTCTTCAGTACCAAGGGCCATTTGGAAAGTGTGCCTATCTCCACAATTGTCACACCAGGTAGGGGCCAACAGGAAACCATTGAAAACATGTAGATAGGCCTCAAAAACACAACTCTGTCCAAAGTAAAGACTGTTGTGTCTGTGTGAGAGAAAATAAAGATTTGTATTTGGGTGAAAGGGCTGAGTTGCGATCAAACAGCAGCTAACTCCACCTGTCATTACAGTTATATTTTCAGTATTCTCATCCTTAGAATGTATTCTTCTTCATCCTCACTCACTTTAGTTTGAGAGATGCGTAATAGGCTAAAGGGTCCATACAGAAGCAGAGTTGGGCCATCATTTATTATATTTTTTTACCAAGAGCAACTCCTATACAAAGCACATTCTTTAATGCAGCTTTAATGATCATAACTTATAACTAACCTCTCATTGGTATAATGCATGGGGGGCATGTTTATTATTTAGAATTAACTTTATTTTTTGGAGCATGCAGAGAACAGTTTTATTAATCATCACTAAAATGCCTTTCTTATAAGTCCACTGTTAATGTTTATGAACTTCAGTTATTTGTATTTATATTTGTTTTGCATGGCTACAACTCTGGATCTCTGACTGCTTTATTTGGGAATGAAATGAATGTGTTTGGTATAACTAATGCAATATCTCTAATTATGCTTGCACTTTGCAACTGGCCTAACCCTTTCAGACATCCCCACACTGAGACACATTGACTTTGTCGACATTACTGACACCACCATTGGCCTGCGTTGGATCCCTCAGAACTATCCAACCACTTTTTACAAGATAACCGTAGTGACCTCAGGCGAGAGCTTGCCAATATTTCAAGATATGGCGCAAGAATCTGCTGGTTATTACACGGTTCGTGGTCTGGAGCCGGGTGTGGACTATGACATAAGTATCGTCACTGTTACAGAGGAGGGGGAAAGCGAGCCAACCACATATACAAAGCAAACGCATGCTGGTGATGTATCTCTTTTACCCCATCCATGGGAAGGGCTGGGTTTTTTTTTTTATGTGAAAACTGATGAAGCCACATTTACAAACCTTTCAATAACTCACATGACTAACTCAAACACTACAGTACATATCAGAAATGTATCACTTTCATAATATTTTCTTTCCAACATCCTAAATCAGCAACCACTTTCTTTTTCCTGTGATGGCTTTAACTTTAACCTCTCTTTTTTCAGCCATTCCAGCTCCCACCAACCTGCAATTTACAGGGGTTGGTCCTGACAACATTAGGGTGACATGGACAGTTCCCCATGCTGCCACAGCCAGCGACATCTCTCGGTTCATCATCCGTTACCACCCTGTAGCCACAGACGATGACATCAAGGAGGTTAATGTTGGCGGAGCCACCAACACCTTCCTTCTGGAGAGTAAGACTATCTGTTTAAACCCATCTGACAGAAAGCTGTGTTTAAAGCCCAAATGAAGTTGGCTTCTTTGCAATGCTCCACGTCAATCCATTCTAACGGTGTACCCATCTCTATTCCCATATAGACCTGCTGCCCAACACTGAGTACAGTATCAGTGTTGTATGTGTGTACGGGGAGCGACTGAGTGAACCAGCCACAGGAACTCAGAGGACAAGTGAGTATGCCAGTGGTTTCTAACGTGGGTGAATGATATGGGCATTTTCATTAGAGTTTAATCCCCCACAAAAAATGTTTCAGGCATATAAAAAAAAAAAAAAAGAGAGAACGGAAGCAAAATAAAAAAATCAGGAAATAAAAATAAATAATAAAATAAAATAAAAATCAGGAAATTATTGCATCATTTTTTTCTTTTAATAAACAATAACAAAATATATATAAGGCAATAAAATACAAACCTATAATAGATAAACATGTGGTCATTTTAGCTGCGGTTCCAATGTTTGTGGGTAAACAACCCACTGATGTCGCTGTAGATCTTTTGCTTTGGTATTTTTTTAATGCAATTCATTGCTTGTTATTTAAAATGTCTCTCCGTTACCTTTCAGCTGTGGACTCCCCTACTGGCTTGGACTTCTCAAACATTGGCACCAACTCCTTCACCGTTCACTGGCTGGCTCCGACCGCTAGTATCACAGGTTACCGCATCCGCTATTCAAAAACGAGTGGTGGGCGGCCGAAAGACGAGAAGCTTCCCCCGACCAGGAACTTCTTCACTTTGACTGCATTGACACCAGAGACAGAATATCTGGTATATGTGTATGCTGTCACCCACGATCAGGAAAGTCAGCCTCTGACTGGCACACAGGCCACCAGTGAGTTTATTTTCTGATTTCTAACACCTTTATTTTTCTCGAATCTTGATCAGAACTATTCATATGTGATTTTATAGAATGTATTTATTATAAGCCTTCTTCCTGTTCTTATCCTCTCCAGTCTCAGATGCTCCAACAGAGCTGGAGGTAACATCATCCACCCCGTCCACCATCACTATCCGCTGGGAGGCCCCCTCTGTCTCTGTGAAGAACTACAAGATCAGCTATGAAAGCACAAGTCTGCACAACACTTTTAATCATTTCCTTGTTTCCTCTTAACCTCAACTGTTGTCGGAATCTAACACGTGACCCTTCTTCAATCTAGGTGGCGAGGCTCCCCAAGAGTTTATAATCCCCGGCACTCAGACTACTGCCACCATCACCCGTCTGTCACCAGGCACTGACTACACCATCACGGTCTTTGCTGTTACAGGAAGGGGGGACAGCCCCTCCTCCAGCACCCCGGTCTCCATCATGCACAAGACTGGTACAGCAACATGAAAAAAAAACAGTTCCTGGGGGGAAAAGAAAATGTTAATGGGTTAAACTAAATCTAAAGCTTGTTATATGTCCACCTGTCTCATAGATACCGAGCCCCCCACTAACATGAGACTGACAGAAGTGACTGACAACGCCCTCACAGTGCGCTGGTCTCCTGCTCAGGGACCAATCAAAGGCTACAGAGTCACTAGTGTCCCCAAGAATGGCCTGGGACCCTCTTATTCCGAGGTGGTGGCCCCTGGTAAGACAGGCCGGAAAAAGAAAACATTTTATAACTTAATATTTTTACCAACACAGTATCATCGTCTTATTGGCTCATTTTATTCATGTCTATTACAGCTCAAACTCAGATGACGTTCTCCGGTCTCATGCCCACTGTGGAGTATGTTGTGAGTGTCTATGCGCTGGGCAATGATGGACAACCCTCCTCCCCTGTGGTGGATAATGCTATCACTGGTAAGTTGGACTCAATTCAGTAAGAGCTGATCAAAACAACTGTTCAGAGTGGAAATTAATTTCCACGTCTTGCATTTCTCCTGCAGCCATGGACCGTCCCAAGGACTTGACCTTCTCTGAGATAGACTCCAACTCCATGCGCATCACTTGGGAGAGTCCAGACGGCACGGTGACATCATACCGTGTCCTGTACTCCAGCTCAGAGGAGAGCGAGAGGGAGCTGCGTCCAGCACCCAGAGGTGACCAGGACACCGTGTTGCTGAGAAACCTTCTCCCCGGGACAGAGTACACTGTCAAAGTCATCGCCCTGCATGGTCGCACACCCAGCACACCATTGGTGGGAACCCAGGCCACAGGTAGAAATACACCAAAAGCATCCACATAATCTTGACCTAATTCATTTGTTCCTTGACTTAACTTTTGTATGCATTTTTGTTGTCTTAGTGATCCCTGCTCCAACCAACCTAGTGATAACAGAGATCGGTCCCTCCACCTTCACTGTATCATGGCGCGGGCCCAATGCACGCCTCTTAGGCTACCGTGTGGTCGTCAACCCAAAGAACATCAATGGCCCCACCAAAGAGATGAACGTTGCGCCCGACAGCACGCGTGTTGTTGTACCAGGCCTCATGGTAACAAGAGTTCTTATCTCAGCATTCACATGGGTTTATAGTCAGTCAGTGAGTAAATATAAACTGTATGGCTGTGTATCGTAGGTGGCCACCACATACCAGATACATGTCTACGCCCTGAAGAACTCTGTCACCAGCAGACCGCTGGAGGGCGAGGCCACCACACAGGAAGGTAACTGGCTGCTCTGTAAAAATGAACACGTCAGGGTACACACACCTTCTTAATCATCAAATTCTTTCAACGACTTATCAGAACCAATTCTTCTAAATTCCCATCGAAGTGTCATTTGAGACATATATTTGGGTAAATTATTGTTACCAATAGACAATGGCATCCTTATGACATTTCCCAGGACAGCAAAACAGTATATTGTGTAAGTTGAGCAATACAATTATTTACAAGTTTGAAAGCTAAGTGAAATTCCCTTACACTTTTATTCTTGCACAAAATGAACACATCCAAGCACTATTAATGTTTTTTTCCACAAATACTCATGAATTTAAGGACCTGTGAAAAGCATTACCCATCATCAGTCGTTACCCACTGCTTTTTCCCCTCAATGCAGATGTCAGTCCTCCTCGACGTGTGCGTATCTCTGATGTGAAGGATACTTCTTTCACACTGACATGGCGCTCAAAGGGGGAAACCATCACTGGTTACCTTGTTGAAGCATCGCCCAAAAGTAGCCCCCACCCCACCATCAGAAAGAACATCCCAGGAGATTCAACCGATTACACTCTGACAGGTACACTACATCTGACTGCTAAATACAACTTAAAAGCTGGAAACAGTTTACACATTTTACATGTTTGGAAGTGTGATTTCACTGTTTCATGTTATTCTTTTGTTTTTTTAAAGGTCTCCAGCCCGGCACCGACTACTCTGTTAACCTGTATACTCTGAATGGCAACACACGGAGTGACCCAACTAATATAGTCTTTAAAACAGGTACTACACAAATCTGTGTGATGATCTCTCTGCTTCATTGGGAATACATTTCTTCATAATTTGAATTTATAATCAGATTTTTCCACATCCAGAAATGTTTACAGTTTAATGTGAATGCAAGCAATGTTAAAGAGAGAGAGGAAAAAAAGAAGACACACAATGCTTTAGTTAATGCAGGCACACTAGAGAGGGAGTGAGTTTACCAAGTCTTAAGCTCGGCTGTTGAGTTGCTTTGTGGGCAATTAAGGAAAAAGGAAAACTTAGTTACAGAATAATGAAGACAAGGTTGTTGGAGTGCACCATTAAATTGGTAGAGTACTATTTTTAGTCAGTTCTTAATCACATCAACAAGTAATCACATGATCTAACATTTTTATATAATTTCCTTCATAGCTGCACCGGTGGTCCAGGCTGCCACGGCCCTGCAGTTTACGTCTTTGACCCCCACCTCCATCTCCTTCACATGGCAGCCTCCTGCCACACAGATCACAGGATACTACGTCACCTACGAGGTGTCAGGAGGAGCACCACGAGAGCTCATCCCAAGACCCCACCCGGGGCAGAACTACGCCACCATTTCTGGTATGCCATGTCAACTGAACAAACCAAAAAAGGTTTTAGATTGATACAAATTCAGAGAAGGATGAAACCTACTTATTCCACTATATGATACATTTGTTCTCTTTCCTCAGGCCTGAGACCATCCACAGAATACATCATTAAGATCATTGCCATCCAGAACACACAGAGGAGTACACCTCTGGCTGGCAAAATCAGGACTCGTGAGTATTAAGACTTCTGTCTGTACAGTGACGAATGTATTGAATTTAAATCATGTCATAAGCGCCAATATAAACACATTATGGTCAAACATCCTATCAAATGTAAGGGCTTGAATGGCAGCTTTAATCTGCTTAGCTCAATCAAAATGTTTCGCTGCAACTGCTCAGAGGTCTTGAGATAAACTGTGCCGTCAATCAGCTTTAGGGTTGTAAAAGAATAATACTTTTTTATTTTATTTTTGAATGCTTCAGAAAATGCCATTCAAAATATCATGTGTGTCCATAATACTGCATTAAGACATGCTGCCAGTGAGCAGTAACCCAGCAATGCTGCATATCTGTCGCCTCCTATTGGCTGAGATATGTTACTGCAGCTCTGCTTTACCTCCCCCTCATCTAACCTGCTTGCTTCCCTAACCCCGTCTCTCCTGCACAGAACCAGAGTCCTTGCTTCCCCTGCCTCTACCCCACCACCCAGGAGGTTATGATGACAGGCTGGATGTGCCTGAACCTGAGTTTGACAACACAGTACAGGTAGTGGGCAACAATGGCCAGGATGGGAATAGTGGTCAGAGCCAGACTGTGGAGTACACAGAGTACAACAACAACAACAACGGAGACAACAGAAATAATGGTAACGGTGGCTACCCACTGTCCCCCTATGGGCAAGCTCGTGAGCCCCTGGTCTTTGTGCCCCTTCCTGATGCAGAGGGCCGCAGACTGCCCATACTGAAGCTCAATGTGCCCATCGGCACCACATTTGGAAACGAGACCGGAGTTCCACAGGAAGCCCAAACTCAGACCACTCTTTCCTGGAAGCCTTACAAGCAGAGCAACGCCTACATAGTGTCCTGCCATCCCCTCACTCATCTTAACGAGAAGATGTTCCAGGTAAGAGACAAGGGGAGTGGTCTCCAGTCCAGGCCCTCATGCAATCTGAGCAATATTTACTAATCATATTAGAGGAATTCTGTAATTTTATGTAGACAAACCTCATCCCTCTTTATTGTCCAGGTCCGCCTGCCAGGCACAGCCACCACTGCGACCCTGATAGGATTGTCCCCCGAAACCAACTACAATGTGATCGTGGAGGCTCTGATGGGGGCGCTCAAACACAAGATACTGGAGCAGGTCGTCACTGCTGGAAACACAAGTAAGCATCCTACTCAGTTCAGTTTGATAACCAGTGAACTGAGGGTGGAGAATTTAGTTAGATAAAGATACGGCTTGCAAGTAAATTACTTGAATCACACACTCAGTTCCCGCACAACTGACAAAGAGCTCAACTGAAGTGAGAAATAAATGGAAATGATTCAGTGCAAAAAGAATAGTTGGCAAACAAAACAACAATAAATCCTACAGGAACTGCTGTGACTAAACTCATGCCAATAATCAAGGGTCTATCTAAAGATAAACCTCAGTGATAGAAAACCAGGCCTTATTTTTATTAAACACAGGCTTTAATTCAAGTTCCCCTGTCCCCTGGATATGAACGGTTCTCTTGCTGAAATACAATTTGTATTTACTACATAAATCAATTTTACAAAACCTTTTTTTAAAGATTTTACATTTTGTCTTTTTAGAAATATGACTATCATTTTAAAAAGTAACCAGATAAAGACCATCATGGTCAACATAAAGAGGGGTTGTGGTTACTCTGGCTGATCAATATTTAAATAACTAGCGGCTTAAAAACACATTTTTCTTATATTTATCTCATATCTATCCTCTCCCATCTTTTATCAGTCACAGAGGGAGTGCCCTCCGATAAGGACTCCTGTTATGATGCCTTTACTTCAACCTACCATGATGTTGGCAGTGAATGGGAGAGGATGTCAGAGACAGGCTTCAAGCTGTGGTGCACCTGCCTGGGAATGGGGAGCGGCCACTTCAGATGTGATTCATCAAGTAAGTTTTCAGGATATTTGTTTTTCCTGGTAGGTACATTTGCATAGCTCTATTAGAATATATTTCACTTGTGTTGTCAAACTATCGTCTTCTTCGTCATTAGAGTGGTGCAATGACAATAACAACAACTATCGCATTGGAGAGAAGTGGGATCGCCGCAACGAAAACGGTCAATTATTGAGCTGCACTTGCTTGGGAAATGGCAAAGGAGAGTACAAGTGTGAACCACGTAAGGCCTCTTAATACCCAAAGATATATATTTTACAACCGCCTCAAAAAGATGTAAAGGATGTGAATGTTAACGTGAATGTACCCTCACACAGATGAGTCGGTGTGCTACGATGATGGCAAAGCTTACCAGTTGGGAAACCAGTGGCAGAAGGAGTACCACGGGGCCATCTGCACCTGCACATGCTTTGGAGGACAGCAGGTACGACACATCAGCCTCCCATGCTTTTGGTCTGATGTTCAGCGATATGTATATTGACTCGTGTTTTATTCAGCGAGTCAATTTAAGTATGTTTAAAGGAGGCTTGTGTTTGTTTGGTCGAATCAGGGCTGGAGATGTGATAACTGCCGCAGACCAGGTGGTGATGTGGATGCCAGTCCGCTGCAGCCTGTTAGAGTGGGCAACACAGTACGCGTGAGTGGAAATCATATCAAATTATTTAAATGTTGTATTAATCAAGATGTAGCACATGGAATTTTCTTGACACCATTTTTTGTCCCAAGACTGTGCTTTTGTCCAAAACTAAATCAAAAAAATGTTTCATTTCAAAGACCATCAAATTAATTATCCATATTTTCTTTTTCAAAGCTTTTGTCTCATCATCTCTTTAATAAATACAAACTCAATAAATGACCTCACCTGAAACTAGTGAAGAGTGAAAAAAGATTTGATGAAATTACAGAATTATTTGTACCTTGACTGTACCTCTTCATCTCTTCCTGCAGCAAATCCATTGCCCCATTGAGTGCATCCAACCGGCCTTGCTGGCAGACGCACACGTTCCTCTGGAGTAAAGGACCGGACACTTGATTGGATCCCCAACCTTCCATTCTCTGCACTGTCTCACATTTTTAAAAGCCATGCTGTCTGCGACTAAACTAACTGCCCAATGATTAGCCAAAGACTGCCCTGCTTCCTGATCAGAGTGATCCGCCTCTAAAGCCATTCTCTTCACTGTTGAGTCTCTAAAGACTCGCCATTTTCTTTTTGTATTCCATACTTCTGTCAGATTTATATACTCTTCAAATTGACATGTTTTACATTTTAATATTCAGAAACACTTCCTAATCAAAGAGCAGAAATAGTCTGAAAGTAAGCACTGTGTTAAAGAATGTCAATGTAGTTATTAACAATGTTTAAATTGTCCATGAAAATGTGCTTTTTTTGTAGCCCTGCTGTTACGGAGGGCTCGCACTGTGTGTGATTGACACATTCTGATTCCTAATGTCTTTTTACTAATGTTTCCTTTTAATATCATCGTGTGAATGTGTGGGAACTGCAATGTGAGAACTCTTCTATTTTTGTACTTTGTTGTCCGTGCCTACCTTTTGACAAAAATAAGTCCCTTATTTTAATAAAGCTGGAGAGATCCTGAAACCTAAGTGTTCATTTTTTGTATTAAATATAAACAGATTTAGCATTATTTACAAAAGTGCTTGCTAAAGACTTCACCCCTCCAATGTCCGCTATTGAATACAAAGGCCAAAATTGCGCAGTATGAAGACCAACTAATAAATGTAATCAGCCAAGGGTTTTCGAGATATGTAGTAATTAGAGCAGATCAGATTCAGGGGTTAAAAAATAAATTTGCCATAATTGTAACATCTTAAAGTGTCCCTGTTATGTTAATTTTCAGGTTCATATTTGTATTTTGTGCCTCCACTGGGAAATGGTCTTTATTTTTCTCATACTGCCTGGGCTGCAGAAACCTCTTTTTCCCCATCTGTCTGAAGAGTCCACTCTGCTCTGATTAGTTAGCTGGCCAGCTCTGTTGTGATTGGTCAACCGATAGAGAAATCCCCAAAAATTATAATGGGGCCCGTTCAAACTAGCTGAAGTCAGGTGATCCCCAACATCATTAACCATTATTGTCTGTACAAAATATAACAGAAAGATACTTGTTTAGATATTTTAAATCTGAACTAATGTGGTGGTGCTAGCATGGCTAAAAACACACAACATACTCATGAATTGCCATTAACAGTTTATTACACAGTGAAACATTATTGACCTAGAATGAACATGTGCACTGCATCTATGTTAGGAACAAAAGTAAGGAATGCTTTTAATTTGTTACAAAACAGTGCATCGTGACTAAGGAATGCCTTTAAGTATCAGCAGTGTTAGGAAAATATGTTGGCTCCAATGATGCAAACCGTTAGTTGAGTTTGGAGAGCACACTAAGCAGTGCTGAGGCGCTCAGTGGTGGAAGAGCCGCAGGTTGGTGTGCACCAGAGTGATGCCCTGCTCGTTACAGGCATCAATCACAACCTGATCAGCAGCAGAGCCCGCTGGAGCTGCGATGAACCCAACACCACTCTACACAAACACACAGGGAAGTAACGTTAGTAAAGTTATATTTTCAAAGTTGAAAGTGTTCCCACAAGGTAAGACTTAAACAGGTGTCTGCAGGCCATTCCCATGCAATACAACCCATGCCTATGTGAAAGATGTTATATTTACCCGTTTGGCACGATCTATGTTATCTCTGAAGGGGAAGAAGGCGTCAGAGCTGACGGCCACAGCCTGCAGGGAGCTGATCCAGTTCTTCTTCTCAGTCTCTGACAGAGGCTCAGGCACCTCTTCAAATTTCGACTTCCAAACGTCCAAGTCTGGGCCCTGTCAACACACAATACGGGACCTTTCAGTTACTCTCAATGTCTCAAACATTACATGTGGACTGTGTGTGCTTGACGGCCAGTGTGGAAGCAGTATAAACAAAATGTATTCAAGTCAGATGTAATGCAGCCATAGCTAAGTTGCTATAGCTCTGTTTTGAGCTAAATCAAACCTGATAAGAATGACCAGTCACTGAGAAATGTGTATACTTAAAAAAGGTAGGGTAGGTAATTCACTTCAGAAACACTTTGTTATATTCCATGGAATGCTCTTAACATCCCGATAGCAATGAATAAATGAAATGCTTTGACAATAAATATATACAAATATTTAATCTGTGGAAGCCGTGGCGCAGTAAAAAGCAGGTCCAATGATCTGCCGCGGGCCGAGGCAGATCAGTAGACAGAGCTGGCAGTAAGAAATTATTGCAGGTATTGCTGGAATTATCTTCCTACCACAACAGTACAACTTAACTACTGCTTTATCCTCAAAGTGTTTGCTGCCCGTTGTTACCCACTTACCTCTCCAATGGTGTCGCTGACATACTGGTCGATTGCGTTGGCAATCTCCGCTCGCTTCACACCGCTGCGGAACTTCATGTTCAGGACCTGAGGGTGGTGTCTCAGCCACCAGTTATCAGCTTTGTCCCCTGCCAGACGGGTGCAGTGGATACGGGACTGCTGCCCTGCTCCAATACCAACAACCTGTAAAACACAGAGAAACATTAGAGTATAAAGTGTAGGTCTCATTCGGATTCCCCTCTCCTCCCTTTGTCTGCCTGTTCTTACCTGTCCATCTTTAGCGTAGCAGACAGAGTTGGACTGAGTGTACTTGACAGCGATGGTGGCCACAGCCAGGTCCCGCACAGCTCCCACTGAGAGCTTCAGAAAGGTAAACACTTTGATGAGATTGTGAAAACAATAAAATAGTTATTTAAAACAAGGACATAAGTACACTACAGTGCCTCACCGAGCCCTTGGAAACAACGTTGCTGAAGAACTCTTTATCGATCATCGCTCCATTCCTCTTCTGTTTGAGATAGAGACCAAACAGCACTCTGACCTCCGCCTCATCCGGCACATACTCTGGATCCATCTGGGATTAAGGCGCACATTGTCAATAGGAACATTTACCTTAACCCTCATTCTAATGATCATTATTTAAACATGATGATGATAAAAACCTCTCACCTGAAGCACACAGTAGTTGCCATTCTTCTTCTTGCAGAGGATCTTAAGTGCCTCCTCATCATAACCAGGAGCGATGATACCATCAGACACCTGAGAGCACATTTATGAATCATCAAAGCAATGTTGCAGCAATAAAACTAACAGATTATTTGTTCTTTTCTTTCTTACATATTATTTTACCTCTCTTGATATGATCTTGGCAGTGGGAACATCACAAACATCGGACACAGCGATGAAGTCTCCAAAAGAGGACATTCTGTCGGAGCCCCTGGCCCGGGCGTAGGCCGTGGCGAGGGGGGAGAGGTCCTTCAGCATGTCGTGCACCATGCACACCTTGGCCTCCTCCTCACTCAGAGGAACTCCCACGGCAGCGCCTTCAGAAGAAACACGAAGAGTCATTTTAATATAAGGAACTACATTTCAGCTCCATATTTATACCCTGGAGAAGAATCTGCGTGTCTTTTCTCACCAGCAGGGCTGACATGTTTGAAGGAGGCGGCAGCAGCCATGCCAAGGGCGCTCTTCAGCTCTCTGACCAGCTGCCAGGCGTTCAGAGCGTCACACAGGTTGATGAAGCCGGGGGAACCGTTGACCACTGAGAGGGGGGGGGGAATGAATGATGTCAAGGCGAGGTTATTTTTTGTTGTACTTTTTGTCAGAACTTTTTTGACAAGGTTATTTTTACTTGTTTGATAAGGACAGTGCATGTTATATTATACATCAGTATAAAACACATGTAAAATGCTGGAGCTAGAAATATGTTAATTTATATCAGTAGTTTCCAGTATTTTAGGGGTCAGCGATGTTGAGAGGACACTACTTCCAAAATCACTGCCTGCTTTATATGTCATCTACACTTATTAGTTTCTTTCTTGGCACGAAATGAGCTATAGAGACAAAAACTGCTTTTGTTTGAGGCTGCTAACATGTTGGGTTTCTGCTGTAGAGTTGGGCTTTTTTTCTATGGAGACTCTTTTAAAGGCAGGCCTCAAGTGGCCATTCAATGCACTGCAGTTGTTGGTACTTCAAGATTCACTGCCCTACACAGGTTGGCAATTGTTAAAAAGGTCTTCATATAGTATGCCATAAAAAAACAGTTTAAGTTTGCCTTTAAAAGTCATTGTATTGTAGCAAAGTGTAGTATAGTATCTTCTCATCTGACTCAAAGTAAGCAAAGAAGTGTATTTTCCAAAATGTTAAACTCCTACTTTAAAGCCAAACTTATAAACAATGACTGCTTCAGGTCAGAGGAGACAGCTGTGATGGGATGCGGGGGGGGGTCTTTACCTTTGAGGGGGAGGGCTGGGCGCAGGGTGTAGAGCTGGGCGGGGGCTTGGTGGGGGTTCATGCCGTAGCGAAGAGGCAGCTGTGAAACACCACGGCTGTACTGTCCACGAAAGTAGTCAGATATGGCCTCGTCATACTGAGCTGTGTGTGTGAAGGCCTGAAGAGCAGAGAACAAATACACACTGATGATGAACCAAATATATGAAAATTAAAAACACTTAATCTTTTGTTTTGTACCAAATGCAGAGTTATTTTCGTTAAGGCATCAAGATACAATGTATCCAAAGAATTGAAGGTCAAAATTCCTATATATTTTTTAAGACCATTTCTGCACTGTTTATATCGGTATCCCAAAGCAAAGCAAAGCAGTAAATCATGTGATCTTAAAACTGATCTGTTTTTGTGTTTAGCCATAAGTTCAGTTGGACTTCAAAGTCCTGATGTTAAAATCTGTAAACAAATATTTCAACACTTAAAAACAGAAATCCTTCACTGGACTGGACTTTGACTTGCACTGAACCTCAAACATAATTACGGAGCCCCCTAGGGGACATGGAGAAGAAAAAAAAGTTATTTACAAAAATATATATATATATATGTTTTGCGAGATATCGCATAACCTTTGCGAGATCTCGCAAAACTTTGCATTTAGCTCAATGTACTTCCTGGTCAGTTCGGCTGCTACGGCAACACAGAAACCAAAACAATGGAACGGTTCATCAATTTTACTTTGAGCTTGGCCTTAAATATAAAGATATAACATCAGTGCTTGGCAATAGGCACGGGTTTCACACATAGACTGTGTGTGTGTGTATATATATACATATATATATTAATATAAAGGGTTTCACATAAGTGAAGACACCTCAAGAGAACACTCAGAGCGAGGGGACATGCATGTCCCTCTGAGCTGAGTTATTGACAGATTCTAATTTCACGGATCAATAACTCATGAACATAACGTTGTAAAAATACAAACAACATGACTTTACAATCATAGCAAGGTAGACATGAGCTACAGTCGTTTTTATCAGAACAGTTCGATACACGCCGTCATCCGAGCTAAACATCAAGAATTGGTCACAAGCTTGAGGAGGGAGAGGAGTGCTTAGGGACAGTCTACAAACTGCAACAGGGTTTTGCGAGATCTCGCAAAGGTTTTGCGATATCTCGCAAAACATGTATTTTTTTTTTTTTCAAATAACATTTTTTTTTCTTCTCCATGTCCCCTAGGGGGCTCCGTACATAAATCAACCTAAAATGAATACTGGGGAAAAATAAATACCTTATCTGAAATCAGTTATTTGATCAACATTACATTATCTGACTTTAGCCTCAGAAACCTCAATGTTTAATCAGCATATAATGGGTTAGGTTACTGTAATCACTTTGAAACCTGCTCAATCATTATTGAGCCAAAAGCAGGATTCAACACAAGTCTGAACAGTGATGGGCGGGATGAACAGATGTTTTACGTAGAAGTAGTTAAAGGATCAAGAAAGGCTGATAGCGAGACATTAAAACGTTTAAATAAAAAAGAGCTCTAGTCAAATATTGAAGTTTGATTGGGAAGAAGGTTTATAAAATGTGCTCCAGAAGTGTGGAGTAATTGTATTACACATAATACAGATAATCTACCCCTAAATATCCTAGTTCGTATATATCCAAATTAAATGTTGGGAAAATATATAAAGTGGCGTTACTTTTAGGGCCAGAGTCCTGCGGGTTTCCAGGGTTGTATCTTTGTCTCCTGAACTCTCCATCTCCTTGGCAACCAGCAGGTAGTCAGCAGGATCACACACTATAGCGACGCGAGCATGATTCTTTGCAGCCGCTCTTAACAGAGTTACTCCACCTGGGAAGGAAGAAACACTTGTTGATGCACAATCTAAATAACTATGTTTTAATGTAAAGTGATATACTTATATTCAGGTAATTGACTACATGCACACAGCCTCCTCTGCACACTCACCGATATCGATCTGCTCCACGGCATCGTCCACTGTCACACTCGGGTTAGAGACCGTCTTCACAAAGGGGTAAAGGTTGCACACCACCACTCTTTAAAAGAACAACACAGAATGAATGTCATACTCCTAATAAAGATCATCATCATAAAAAATAAAACACACAAAAATATACAAGCATATCTTACTGCAACACATACAAAACAACAACATTGCCATTTAGGGCGACTTTCTACAAAGTGATATCAGAGTTAGAAAATGAGCAACATTCAAACAGTGCAGCTGTAGAAAATTCATAAAGACATAAGAGAAAACTGTATTAAACATCTATGAATTAAAGGAATAATAACAAATTGAACTACATTGTAATCCTAGCTTTAAAAGTCTGTATATGCTCAAGGCCTTTGATTGATTGATTGATTGATTGATTGATTGATTGATTGATTGATTGAAGGCCTCCCAGAAAGAATTCATTGAGAGTTTTACTTTTAGTTTTTTTAAGCAACACTGTGATCAAGAATCATCTTTCATCCTAATCAGATGATTGACTCAACCTCCCCCTAATTTATCAACTGGTCAAGAGTCAAGATAAAGAAGTAGATATGTATGTGTGTTTATCAGATTTCTAATCAAATGTACAGTTGAATTCCCCAAATACCAAATCTGTAAAGTCTGATTTAATCACATTTCAGTGGTAATCAAATGAGAGTCACAGGACTAGCTTGAAAGCAGGAGCAGCACGTTTCTATTAACTCGGAGGCTAAATGAACTACACATGCTTCCTAATGAGACAACACAAGTTTTTATTCTAATTATACTAGCTTATGATCTGCCACAGGCCGTGCATGCTCTTTGATTAAACTGGGCTTTGTAGGAAATGTTTGTAAATCCTACCTTTTCTCCCCAAATATATCCATTATGCTATTTTAAACCTGAGACTGTAATAAAATATCCAATGTCAGTGATAGGTGTGAGTTTATGTTTTAGACTTTGTTGCTGGGCTTCTCTTACCTGACCAGGCTGTAGCCGAGCTTCTCCATGTCTGCGGTGTCAGAGGGGGTTTTCCTGGCCAGGATGCCCCCATGGACAGCGGGATGCAGGGTCTTCACTCTGCCCCCCAGCATCTCTGGATGTCCAGTCAGCTCAGACACATCCCTGACACACAGCAGAGGCACACACAGGTTACAGAGGGACAGAGCTGATATGTGAATTTGGGAAAAACACACTAGTGTATTATTTTAAGGACTACTCGAGTACCCACCTGACAGCCAGGCCAGCCTCTCGCAGGGCTTTGGCTGTGCCCCCTGAGGCGACCAGAGACAATCCAACATCCACCAGCCTTTTGGCAAAGTCCACCAGTCCAGTTTTGTCTGACACACTCAAAAGTGCTGCAAGGACAGATAAAGAGGATACTTACAAAACAACTTAAAGGCAAGCATTACGACGGACACAAAAGAGGAGTACAAGTAGGTTATAACGATATAAAGCAGGCCACGTTGGCTAGTGTTAGCCAGAGTGCTAGCAGCCTGCATGTCGCAGATAAAAACTTCTTAATTTGTTCAGTTTTAAACAGAAAGTCTTACCAAGCTCTGAGGAGGCCATGTTAGATTCACGTTGTCAGTCTGCAGTGTGTGTGTTGTAGAGAGGGTTCAGCTCAGTCTCCACTCTGTGATACAAGGATAACTCCAAAATAAGTTTTGTGTAGGATGAGACAAATCTACACGGTTTTCATTGCCTCATCATGTGCTTCAAAACTGCGAAGACCCGCCCTGCTGAGGACGGCCCGCCCATTACAAACAAGCGCACCCAAAATGGCTACACTGCGCAGAAAATGCGCATTTTCAACCGAAAGTACAACAATTACGATAAGTAATGTAATTTATTTATAGTATGTCAAAGGGTAAAGATATCTGGGTCATTCAAGAATTGGAGGAAATGTCCCACATGTAAAAAAATCAAATAATCCATGCCCAAAAAGCTAAAACATGCACTTGTTGTGTTATTCTTGAGACAAGATGCATATATAGTTGTAGAAAAAGTGGTTTCAAAATATTATTTAAAATATCTTCTAGCTCTCGAATACCCTAAAATTGCCTTTTTTGTCCCAGCTTCTTGGTGACCAACTTGCATGTCAAATATAACATTTAAAATAGGGTTTCTATTTACTTTTGTTGGTATTATTCTATTGATATGTCACTTGTAATGGTAAAATCAATTTGTTAAATCATAAACACATTTTAAATAACAGTAATTTTACACTGAGAGTGTGTCCCACAACCATAGGCTGTATGCGCGCAACCCAACTTTTTTAGCTTGGCAGAGGAAGTGAAAAAGCTGTTTGTCACATGACACAGTGGAAACAAAGGACATCAGCAAGCCATTGGTAGACCAAAACTAAGTCCTCTCTTTTATTTTTAATATATATCCAATCTTGTCACTCTTGAAGGAGTGTGGCACTCATACAAACGCAACCCNCACATTATGGGGAGATCTCAAACACAAATTAATTTTGAAATGTTATCTTTCTTAGTACAGTATCTAAGTGGTGCTCCATCCTGACATAGCATGTTAACATTGTTGCAGGCTAGCATTAATTCCTGAGGTAAAAGCAAAAATTAGCATTGATTTGCAACCCTGTTACTATAATTAGCGTAACAGGGTTAATTCTTCATTGGAAAATAATACAATATTATCAAACAACATTTCTGTTGTCCTGAGTATTTATTTGTCACCTTTATGTCATTATCTACAATCAAAAGTAATGTAGCCATTTAACCCTGTTACCTTACGCAACCCTGTTACTCTAATTTCAACCCTGTTACTATATCATTTTCTATTCAAATAATAAAATTAAACCAGTTTTATCCAAAAATGACATGAGTATTTAATGTAAATGTGACTTTCTTTACTTAATAGTAAATAATTTATTGAAGAATATTTTTGAAAATATTTTTCTGCTTAATGAGTATTTGTAACAGGGTTGCACAAAGCATGGAACACAACAAATAGTGAGTGAGATCAGACGCGGTGTCTTCTTTTTTCTTGCCACCAGAGGGCAGTCAAGGACCTTGCTCATGCACATGTATGGAGGAAAGCAGTCATTGTTTTATATTTTATTTCTATATGATGTATGTGCAACGCTGCTGTGCCTGGACTTGTGAGTCACTGCACATCGTCTATTCTTCTTTAAAAATGGCCTATGTAACCTAACCTAAACTAGTACGTGAAGATTATTTTATTTTTTACTTGTGTGATCTTCTTAGTATTTTTCTCTTATTCATTGAGCATTGTTGGACGGAGCCTTACACCTGATTGTGGATTATGTCAACAAATGCTTCTCTGTAACTATTGTATATATGATAAATAAAGAATGTTCTATTTATGTATTAAATCATTTAACAGTGATGGTATGAAAACCAATAGATAAATACAAAAAATCTTCAGAACCCTATGTTCATTGTTTATTTGCACATCTATTGATTGATAAGCAATACAAAAACGAAGATTATTTGCCATTTCTTTTGGTTGATGCAGGCAGGTTGATTTTTTTTGCTAATCAGCACAACTGAAGGTTATATTGTCACCAAGCAGTGCCACGAACATCATCACTTATGTCGGCTGTAGCCTAATTGGTAAAACACCTGTAACATACATTTCCTGCAACAATAAACTTTATTGGCAAAAAACGGTGCATTTTTGCTGCTTTGGAACAGCGTTTTAAGTCGGACAGATGTGAATTTATTGGGCCCCGTCACTCACTCCTTTACTCGGCCATTAGTTAAGTGACAGGACAGCGCCCGGGAAACCTGCACCAATACGTGTGATTACGTTAAAAGATCGCACAATCTGTTCATATTTACGTAATGAGGCCGACATTTTGCTGATTGATTAAACTACAGGGTGTAAATATGTTTAAGGGCTCCTTGATTTATGATCTAACAAAGCAAAAAAGATCTCCATTTATTTGTCTAACTATGAAAATGGGAGTTTCTGGTAAACGCTGTGTTTTTGACATCTCAGGGGCGAGCTGAGTGATTCAATAGACAGTGAAACATTTTAATAGAAAGACACAGGATTCAATATGCATTATCGGGTAAAAAGGAAAGAGGCAGGAAGGCCGTCAGCACTTTAGTTGGGCTGGCCCTTGAGAAAACTGACAGAATTATCAGCAGAACTGTAATTTACGCAGGGAATTTTTAATCAACATGGCTGGTGTTTTCCGATTAAATTAGGAGAGAGACGTAATCAATGACCTCCATATATTGCTGCACTGCCTTATCAATTAGCTGTGATTTTTTGTACTGTGTCAGAAGGGCCTGTGTCATAAAACAGGCCAGATGGCATTTGTCATGCAGCTGACAAGTCACACAACTAAATGAGCGCCTATTGATTCCCATGATTTTTCATCAGCCAAATTAAAAACTGCACTTGATGGAGGTTCAGACTGCAAGCTTGTTATGTATTCTACTCACGCTATTAAATCAATTCTAAAAAAGTTCAACGAAAACTCTTTCAAAGTCATTTAAGTTAAACATGTAGATTTTATGAATTGAACATGTTTTTTTTGTTGCTGCTACATCTCAGGCCTTTCCCAGGCATGGTTAAAGCTCTGAAGTCACTTAAATTCCTGTGTAGATATTAAACTGCAAAAAGCTCCAGAGCATTTATAAATGTTTCTTAATTTACCATTGTTTCTGATGCACTACCTGAGGTTCCTATCTTCATTTTTGTCAAGCCTGTGAATTTCATTTTCAGGCAAATGCACTGCCACTGAAAATATGTTTAAAATCGCATGCAAATAAAGGGAGTTTCTGGTAAATGCTATGTGTTTGACATCTCAGGGGTGAGCTGAGTGATTCGATAGACAGTGAAACATTTAATAAAAAGACACAGGCTTTGGCAAAATAATATTTTTTGCATGCTTTACTCTTATTGGACCCTCATGGTCCAGGGACCCACATTTTGAGAGTTATTTACCAACCGGTCACCAACTGTGACTCCATACTTAGCAGATAACACTTGACAATGTACGGTTGCCACTGGTCTTTTTCCTAGAATTTATCCCCTTATATCATAGAATCTTAGGGGTCACAAATGTTACCACCCTACACACCATATCACATATATCAAAATGTGTGACCTTGTATCAATAAATATATGGCAACTTGTTTCATAACGGTCTAAATAAAGACTGATTTGTGTGATTTGGGGATACACAAATATATTTGCATTAACCTTCCCATAAACTGCACAAAAACCCTACTGAAAACCAATATTGCACATGATAAAACAGAGATTTGTTGTCAGTGTTTGTCAGAAAACACAAGCTTCTGCCTCTTAAGTCTTCACTAAAAGTCCCATCAGTGTGTAAAGGCACTTCCAATCACTGCAGAGCTTTGTTTTTTTCACAAGAGGGGTGTGTGTGTTTGTGTGTGTGTGTGTGTGTGTGTGTGTGTGTGTGTGTGTGTGTGTGTGTGTGTGTGAGTGTGTGTGTGTGTGTGTCCAGCTAGTTAAGAGTGCATTTAATCACTATATAAACATGTGACTGTGGTCTGAAAAGGGGCTAAATGACACCATACTGCATGTCCTCCAATCTGCTCTTTAATCACCACCCTTACAAGGGTGGCCATTAAAACGCCCCGCCGCAGTTACACACACTCATCATGCTGTTGCTCTTGGAAATTAAAATGGGCCTGTGTGACATCACCATCAGGCTTTTGATTGCTTTACTTCCTCTTCATTAACTTAATTATTTGGCTATCAGTAAACTCCTTCGAGTAATTAATATCTGAGAGCCTTGGTAATAAATAAGTCGGTGAACTGGGAATGACTTTTGCTACCAGAGTCAACGCGGTGGCTGTGAACAGGAAGCAGTTGAAAAAGATGTGAACAGAAGAGATAACCTTTCCTCTACTATGTTGCATGTCAATAAGAACATGGACAGATGTTCTGCAGGTGAGATTTAAGGAGATCGTTATGGTATATCTTTGAGATTTGATACCTACATTAATAATATATTAAGTTTTCTTCACAATAACAAATACAATATTGAAAACAAATGTTAGGTTGTCTTATGCCCCTTTAAATCAAGCAGGCCCGCTACCCCTTTGAAGCTTTGTCCTTTATGAACCCCAGCGGATGAATCCTAATGTCTTTGTTGACATTTTTTTTCTTACTTTAGCAGAAGTTGACACTTATATAAGATATACCTGCAAAACAATTGAAATGTTAGAATTCATCTCAAAACGCATCTGAATGTATTTTCTTCAACATCTTACATTAGACGCATTTAAAAAGCGTCATCCAACTTTGACCTTGGGGAGAGTTGCCATTGACCGAATGTCTTTACTGCATGTTTCAGCTGTTCCCATTATTAAGATATTGATATCACTTTAATGTTTTTAATTCCCTTGTATTTACATTTGACTGGACATACATGGGAACATTGATCAATAATAAATTCCTTTTCATTTTTTTATTTCACAGTTACACCACAAACACGTTTCAGATAAATACACGGATGATTCATCTTTTCAACCATTCAAATAAATTACTTTCATTTACATGTCAGTGACAAGAACAAATTCAGAAACACCATCAAGCACAGAAAAACCCATCAATATTTACACATAAAATGCACAAAACTAAATGTAATACAGAAGATAGTCAGCAAAGTATTTGTCCCCAAAAACATCTGGAGCAGCGGATGTTTCTGATCTTGTGTTGTTTCCTCAGTGACACAGTATGTTTAACTTCTTTTTTTGTCTTCATGATGCAGTGGAGGCTGTACATTCTCCTGCTGTCTGAACGCACCTAAGTTCAATTTGCATCCTTCATTTATGTGGTCATGTGTGTTCACTGGGCTGAGCTCCAGCTTTCAGTGGATGGAGCAAATTGACAAATTGACAAGGTGATGGCCTAGAAACAGCTACATGGAAGGAAGGGAATGAGCACCTTTTTTTCCCGGCATGCTATGACATGTACAGTACTCAAAGATGATTTTATTCAGTTTATACAGTATATTTGTGTCATTTGTGTGTATTTGGAAATTGTCTCTTGCAGAAACAGAGATATGTCCCAGTGTAATGTCTCTTCAGTGAAACCTGTTTCCTTCATGTCTGTTCAAAGTCCCGCCCCGATCTTCCTGTCGCCTCCTACTGACACCCCCTCCAGCTCCTCATCAGAGAAAGGGCTGTGGGGATTGTAGCTAACATCAGTGGTGCGCTGCAAGAAGTTTGTTGATCGTGGCTTCCCAACAGGAAAACCATGCTGGCTTTCCTCCTCTTCTTCTTCTTCCTCCTCGTCCTCCTCCTCTTCCTCCTCTTCTACATCCTCCATATCAAGATCCATCCCTCTGTCGTCCTGATCCAAAGCTCGCCTGCTCTCATTTGATTTGTCCGTGACTGTTTTTTTCCCATTGCGTAGTCTCTGTGCGTCGGACGGAGCAGAGGCAGCCTGCTCCTTCGCCTTACGGCTGCGTTTCCACTTCATCCGGCGATTTTGGAACCAGATCTTGACCTGGGGAGGGACAACAGAGTAAAAAAAATGTTTACAACACGGTAATACTTAGGATATTTCATCCAGAGTTTGTCTGAACAGATATCTTATTTGCAGCTCTAGAACAACAATTACTTCTTTTTTTAAAACTGACAGTTTATTTTGATTTGTATAATATCTTCTCTCTGTTTTTGAGTCTTGAGTGGGACCCTTCCGTTTCAAGTTTTGTCCATAGCTGCAAAGAAAAATATATGGAGCATATTTGTACCTTTTATTTTCCCACTGAAACTAAAGAGCAAAGACTAATTCTCTACTGTGGAACTTCCACAATGCATAAGAAACTCCCCTCTGTATCTTTGATCTCCCTTAATTTGTGTCATCCAACAATAAAATAAGTGCTTAAAATATAATATTATTTAAATCTTACATATAAAATGTAGAGGAAACAAAATACCCTAATGTATTTTTTCTGCTCTTTGTGAAGATAAACTCACTTTGGACATCATAAAGTGGAGACATTCAGTCATGCATTCAAAATCCTCCTCTTTTTTAAATCTGTACATACTGTAAGGTGACACTTTTGCAGAATGTCATTTTAACATCTGTCAATTTATCCCTTTTGCTATGATAGAGGTATATTTAATTTGACATTTCACAAATACACTTAACTACAATATACCGATGCCTACACTTCGTGCAATGTTGAATTGCTTGTTATTTGTTTTGAGGGAACTCATGGCTTGTTTTTAAGGTGTCAGTGATGTTGTTTTTCATGATGAAACAAAATGTGCCTGCCCTTAATTATTGAAGTGATTTAAGATCCAGCAATCCTGATAGAGTGTGCTGCTGCTGTCCTGTAGCAGACTGTCTGATGTTCAGTTTAACACGTTCAGTTCGCTCCTCATTTCTGTTTCTTAGGATTGTAAATCACCTTTAAAAATAACCTGGTTTCTGGTGAAGTTTGGTCTGGTGCTTCTTACCTGTGTTTCAGTCAGCATGAGTGAGGTGGCCACTTCAAAGCGTTTGGGCCTGGACAGGTATTTGTTGAGCTTGAACTGGTTCTCCAGCTCCAGCAGCTGCTGACTGGTGAAAGCGGTGCGGGGTCTCCGGCACTTCCCCAGGAGACCTGCCTGAGGGCCGGCTGGAGGAGGAAGAGCAAAGGCATCAGTGTGGGGCATGTGAGTGGGACGGTAACATTTAATAATGATTTCCACTTTTTTTTCTCATTTGACATCACAGATTCCTGGTTATTTCAGTTATATTCAGTTTAACACACAATGTCTAAATATGATTGTTTTGACAAATCAAATCAAACTTATTTTGAAATATCTGCCCTTTATAGAAGCTTCAAGTCTTAAATTAAATATGTTGCAAGCAACTGCTGTCTGTCTTTTTTATAATACCAAGGACATAGGAAGTTCAATATATTTTGTGGGAGGGATCAGCACACATATGCCCGCACTCTCTCGCCATCATTAACTATAATAGCTTTACTCCAGTTTATTGTTGACGGGGGGACACGGCAGAAGCAGGCGCAGAGGCCATAAAAACACAGGCATGCCATTAACTTAATGAAAATTCAATGAAGGCTTTTGGGATTTTATTGATGAACTACAGAACGTTTTAGGTGTTTGTTTATAGTTTCTTCGTCACACAAAGAAAATTTTCATCGAGTTGGCATTTATAGAGAAATAAATGGGCCAAAATGTAGGCCTAAATGTGACAGACAATACAGATAAGCAGTAAACACAGACCAGAGCTATACTGTACGGGACAAGGTTGGGCTGTTATTACCACTAAATATATGAAGATCTCGTTTATTGAGTAAAATAAAAAATAATACAGAGTACGACTAACAAAAATAAAGTATTAGTATACAAGCTAAATTAATTTAGGACAGGAAATTATCAGTTTGAAAAAAGGAAGTCAAACGCTGAAACTGCATGTTTCTGTATGATCTTAGACATTATAATATTTTCTTTATTTAAATCCTTTTGAATCTTAAAGAGAGATCATTTTCGGTAGACTTGATAATAGGCCTACGTGATAATTAAGGTCTACTTAATTGATTAATGTTACAACGAAAACACCATAAACAATAAATAGGCCAGCAAAAAAACAAAGGATTAATAAATCGTTATTAATTAGGCCTTTTATTTTAACTACTACAACAGTTGGGTTACGATAATATCAGGATGAATAATTGAAACGGAACACGAATCAAGCTTAGTCAACAATTTAATCATTTTCATCAGACAGTATTTCTGTTAAATTCGTTTCAGCATCTTGGCAGTTCTTCAGAGGTGAAGCAGTGTAATTAAAAACTGTAAAACCTGATAAGGGAAAGCGGTGCATGATTGATTTGGGTCTGTCTGTGATTTAGAAAATGAAACAATATTTTCACAACAGGACAGTTATTTCTCTCAATTAGCTTATCCCTTGACTTTTTAAGTGTGGATATTTTTGACATTTTAAATTGATTATACTTACTGCTGTAATCTGGCAGCCTTGGCATCATGATCCCGGCGCGGATCCAGTGCTCCAGGGGCAGAGAGCCCGCCATGGCAGCCATCTTCAGGTGGTCCGGGTAGGTCTGTGTGAAACCGGTGTATGCGAACGCGGGGTGATGGCCACCCAATGCGGATAAAGGGTACATGGGGGCAGGATACATGCCGGGGATTGAAGCCAGTCCTGGATGAGGGAGATTAAGGAGACCCGGTTTGTGAAGTAGTCCCTGAAGTTGTGCGGCCCGCGGAGAAGGTGTGTCCGCGCGGCGGCAGGACACCGGGCTGCCTGCCGGGCTGTCGCTGCTCAGACCGGGGGAGAGGTCTCGGCTCACCCGGTGAGTCTCATCAGCGAGCAGGGCGTCAATTCGGAAGTTTTTGGATTTCTCCATCACGACTTCACTTAGGAGGAGAGCAGTCTTTAAAAAATGCCAACTTTGGCGGGTGCCTACCCTAACCGTAACCCTGTGCCGTGCGTCACAAACTCATACGTTCTCTTTATATTCTCAAAAAAAGTTTAGGCAAGTCAAAACAAGTTACAGCCTAATTATCAAAAGTAAGCATTAAAGCATGATCTTATCTTATGACTAAATTACTGACATTTGCGTGTGCATTCCTCCATCTATGACGCTAAATTGCACTTGCACATGTCACTCTGCAACATTGCGTCCGTCCTGGTGTTTAACACTAACTTCAAGAAGAGGCATGCGTCTCCCTGCATGAGCTGTGCCTCCCCCCCCCCCTGCAGGCTGGTGTGCGCTGGGATTGGCTGGAGGCTGGCTGCTGTGACGGGCCTCTAATCAGCTAATTACTCGCTCGTTTCTCCCCCCAGAAAGCATTCAGAGTGAGGTAATGTCCAACCCTTGTCCCGCCTGCAAACACCTTCAACTGCATCAAAGCGTGGAGGTACATTAGAAGATTAGCAGATTGTATTTTCAGTATCTATCTTACTGCCAGATGCTCCTAGCTACCTTGCCATAAACAAAGAATTATAGTTAACTAATTATTAGTGCTGCAAACATCCTCCACACCTTGGCAACACATATTGGCCGTTTTTCAGCATGCTGGATGTTTCTGCTTAACTCTGGTTGTGTGACGTTAAAAAATTCAAGCATTGTGTCCATTCCAGTATTTAAAACATTTATATTAATGGCTTTCTTCATTCTCATACTCAGGCCATACCAATGCCATTAAAGTTTACGATCAGGAATTGCACACAAACCATATAAAAGTGTAATGACTTGGCAGAAAAGGCTATAAGTTAATTGGTCCTCTGCTTAAGGTGAACTAATGCCATTTTAAGACCTGAAAAGGGGAAGTGGAGTCTCACTTGTTCTTTTCAACATGGTTTTATGTCTGTCAGCTGAATGTGGTCTAATTCACTGTTATGTCACTGACAAAATTCAACCATGTCAGAATCAGAATCAGAAACGGGTTTATTGCCAGGTAACACATACGAGGAATTTGACTTGATGTCATGGTGCATACATCAAATATAAAACAAAGAATCTCCATATAAAACAAGAAATCTAATATAAAACTAAAAATCTTTAAGGACACTGTAATAAAATATAGGTAAATAGCAATAACATAAAGCAGTAATTTACATCAAAATTGAATGCAATGAGTTATAGAATATAAAATATGAAATATGAAATAAGAATATGTGCAGTAAGCAGTATTTCAAAATTATGTAAATGTAATAACACATTTTTAAATGGGCTTAATCTGTTGGAAAATTTGAATTTTGATATGCTTCTTAGAGACATTTAATGTAACTGTTTTGTATTCAGAATCTGCATGTTGATGCAAACAGGAACATCATGATGCTCAGAATTATTCAAATTATTGCATTTAAAAGTGCTGGGGCTTCCCCCACCTAATATAGCCTTTAATTGTTAATCATTTAGAGTTAGTACATTTCCTATAATTTCCAAATGTCGTTTTAGAGTCTGAATACTAGATGGCTTATTTAGGCCTTCTCATTATTTACTGAGATTTACCTAAAAGTAATCAAATAGTATAAAAACACTAGCCTACACCATGTGCACCGTTTAGAGCACATGACCTCATTGTCCTGTAGGCCCTGTACATCTTCATTTGCATGACTTCTCCTATACTTGAGTTGGATTAGTCAATGGAGATGAAGCAAGTCATTCAATTTGCAAATTGACATTGCTTGAAGGAAAATTGGCACAAATTCAGCATTTCAATGTAAAAATGTTACATTTGAATTGTGTTTTATTGGATTATTGTTCAGTCAAAACAAAACATTTTAAAGTGACACCTTAGCTCTGAAACCGACGCTGAGCCATGTTTAATATACTGAGATTGTAGAGCCTGAATGATTAATCGATAAAAGAATCATATTAATTAATAGCACAAATGATTGTCAGGTGCAGCACTATTAGGAGAAGGAGTATTCGTTTCTGTTCAAGGAGTTTCATGAGTTTCCAAGTGGCTTCATCGGTGCTGCACCACTTCAAACAGCCTCACTAACAAACAGCAGTGCAGACGTCACAATGTTACAGTCTAATCAAACTGCAGCTCCAGCCTCCACAACAAAACAGCTCTAAATCGTGTGTCTCCGGAAATTGAAATCCAGTCTGAAGATATGAATAAAATACATTGCAGCATATTTATAAGACCTCCACTCACGATATGTAATTGGCTGGTGCACGTGCGTCGTGCACGCGCGTATTTGACCTCCAGGAAATTGGAGCGGTCTCTCTCTCCAGCCCCTTCTTACCCTCTTTGTCTCTCGCCCTTCGTTCTCTCTCTCTCTCTCTCTGAGATTACCGACTGTCTCCCGCGCTGATATAGAGGTAATTTGCTCCTGGGAAATCAGTGCTGCTTTCTGCCTGTTTCTCTCAACCTCTCCCCCTCATGCTCCTTGCTTTTTATGATTTGAAAGTAATTTAAATAGTCAAGCCATGGGTAAATCCGTCACCCGGGCCTGTTGACAGACGTGGACAAATTAAATTGAATGGGTGCCTGAAACTGAGCAGTGTTGTGCACAACGTCGCTCTCCTTGACAAGAGCAAATGGTGCCGTGCCTATACTGTAATTTTAGCCACCATAGGCCCATTATCGCTGTATACCAAAACAGCAAAGAAAACAAACAAAATGTCCCAAGAAGTTTGGTTTACATCATAGTTCCGAATTAATATGTGGGCCCCAGCAGGAATTTTGGTTTAGCATAAAACAAACACAATTAATTATGGTCTTGAGATTTGATTTTAAACAGTGCCCCTCTTCAAGACAGTGCCGAATAACAATGGGCCTAATGCAGAACCTGATTGACCTTCAGTGTTGCAAATCCCTTATTTTCAAATAATCAATCACCTGACATGCAGTTCAACCAGGGGTCATGGGGATCTTAACCTGTACCCAGACTTGCCCTGGAGGAAATTTTGCCAAGAGCCCAAATCAAACATTTCTCTCACCCTTTTGCAAAGTACAATTTGTTTCTAGTTGACTAACTTTGTTTATGAGTGGACAACATTTAAGTTGAGAAGTATAGCAACCCTTCGAAATGTAAACTCATAAATTCAAGTTACCTGTCTCAGGTTTTTAAGCAAATGTATTGTTTTGTCTATCTTTTATGTATCACCTGAAGCTAAATAACAGAGATATTGATGCAATCCTATATTGATACATTTTTGAAAAGCCTTTCAGAGGTCAGGGTCAGCCACAGTGCAGCTGACAGCAACTTCAGAAGTTTGCATGATGCTCACACCTGAGTCAAAGACAACAACATGATGTAGCTCATCTGATGGATTATGTGACTGTCTGAAAGTAACACTGACTCTGATCTGTTTGACTAAAACTCTCACTACTTCCTTTCCCTCCTTTCACAAATTTCTTAACAAACACATACCCTTTTGAACCCTTTGCAGAACTCTCAAAATGAGGCGCACACCCTTCACACCGTGAGAAGACAATGTGTTCAAAGGGACCGCCACCGCCAGCCCTTGACGTTACACTACAAAGCCAGAGCTTATCGACAAGTTATGCGTCAGTAAACTAAGCGGCCAACAGGAGTTTACTGAAACATTAAAGAGCTTATCAGCAATTACAGGCATATTTTTCAATCATTACCACAGCTCTGAGACAGCCTTCTCTGTCCTTAAACTAATCCATGTGCCCTCTGTGTGTCAGCACATTATTGACTCCCAATGGGTCACTGATCCTCCCTGGTTTATTTAACCTAAAGACCCTTCACACAATGGGACTAAAAAACAAGTTCAGGAGCTTCTACAGATTGTCAGTCTGATAACATGAATCATATGAAAACATGTCAACACCATGCACTGGACCATGAAAGCCACATTTACTGTAAAATGTGTTGATTTATCTCGATTCAACTGGCTTCATATGAGCACATTCCTGTGTCTGCTCTTTGTTGTGACATGTGGCGTTCAGGGACACTGTCCATCAGCACTAGTTTTCCCACCAGGGCTGGAGTACAATGCCTGACTTCGGCTGTGATAAATGATTCGGGTGCACAATGGTCTTTCTGTGCAGTGAAAATCATCTCTCTGTACCCCTGGTAATTAGACTAATTCCCACAATGTTGGAGGCAGACGATAAATCTACTCGCTTTCCGCCAGACCTTGAGACTAAAATTAATGTTGTCTCATTAAGCAGATAAAGGTTATTTATTGGAATTTTACTTCTCTTTGCAGCCTCCTTACCCTCTACACATCATTTATTAACCAATATTGAGCTTTGCCATATGACATCCAGCCCACTGGATGTGAATCTCCTTCTGTCTGTCTTTGCTAGTTTGGCCTCTTCCCACTCCTCTTATCAGGTGTTTATCAGCACTTTCTGGAAAGTAAATGAAGTTGTTTGCTGAGCCCCTGATGTTTACAACCAAAGCAACAGTATTCTTCAATTATCGAGCTAGAAAAAACATGTGTGTTTAAGGAAAAATGAGTCAAAGTAGTTGAAAAAGCATGGCCAACAGCAAGCTGGACTACAATCATTACCATTATAACAATCAGACTTAAAGGTGGGGTAGGTAATTTTGGAGAAACCAGCTCGAGTGCGCTAGAATTTGAAAATACACAGCCGTAAAAAATCTGCCACTTCTGGCCCGTCCACACAGCGGCGTGCGTTGAAGCTTCAACGCTTCTGCCCATTCACTTTGAATGGGGTGACGTCACGCTTCGCCGAACTGCATTATGGGGAGCGTAGCTACGCGTTGCTCGCGTTGCTTGCGTTGCTCCGTCAAAAGTTGAGCAATGTTCATATTTTGGCGCCTCGCAGAAGCGTCAGCCAATGAAATCGCGTTTATTCAAATCTGCCAGTACAAGCGCTAGCCAATCAAACCGTGTGTATGCTGGGAGAGACTACGCAGGTCATTTCCTCATATTCCCAAAAATGGAGGGAAAATTCATTATAGCGGTAGTG